ACCTTCATGCTGAGCTACATTCCCAGCTCTTTTTATTTTATTTTAATTAATTCATTTTTGAGAGAAGGTTCTCGTTATGTAGCTCAGCCTGGCCCTGAACTTACCATGCAGTCCAGGGCAGCCTTGAACTTGCAGTGATCCCCCTGCCTCAGCCTCCCAAGTGCTGGGATTGCAGGTATATGCCATCATGCCCTAATTTATTTTTTATTTTTGGGATGGGGTCTTGCTAAGTCACTAAGTTGCCTAGACTGGGCTCAGTCTTTAGGCCTTCCTGTCTCAGCCTCCCAGAGTGCTAGGATTACAGGTATGTGCCATGACATCGGGCTTTTCATTGGTCCTTTTGACCGAATACTTTCTATATTTAACTTGAAAATAGATATTTATATTTCTGTCCAGGGACTTGAAGAAGAAAAGGGGGAAAAAGAAAGAAAAGAAAAAGAAAACAATAAGTCTTTAAAACTATTTCCAGAATTTGAACATAAATAATTCAGCTGTGGCCTGTGCGTGTTTGGTTCCCAGGCTCTCTGGGGAGATACCATGGGGAAAACCCCTAGGGCCTGGGGCTGTAAGGTCAGAGTCCAAGTCCTTTTGTGGCACATGAGCAGCAGTGTGATCTCCACTCACCGTCACCCATCCACATGTCCTTCTTAGTCAAGGAACCTGCTAATACCTGAGTCTCTGCCTTATGACATCATTCTTTATTTTCATTGCAGTTACAGCTATTTAATGAGGTGTAAACTATGACCCAGGTACTGTGAATACGCCACTTAATTTACCAAACACCCCGTGGAGTGGGACAGTTGTCACCCCATGCACGTGTCATAGTTAGGGTCGCACCGCACCTCAGAGAGCTCTACGTGACCTGTCCACCATCACAGGCTGCAAGCAGCAGCTCGGGGATTTGAACGGTAGACAGTGAGGGTAACACTGGACCCTCAGCCATGGAGGCTGCGCTGGGGACGCACGTGGAGGGGGTTGGCCTGAGCCCCGGCGCTGTCTCTGGAAGCCTGGGTGTGAAGGGTGTGGCTGAGGTGACACAGATGGTTGAGCAGAAGGAGCCCTGGGGATCAAGTCATTAACCAACCTGATGTGAGGATGATGAATCT